CAAACGAACTTTCGACGAAATGGGTGTCGACGAAATGATTGTCAACGAAATAATTTTCGACGAAGTAAACGCAACCGGCTCAAAAGGCTCAAAAAAAAAACATCCTTTGGTATCAGGATCTTTACCAAATTTTGTTAATGGTAATCACAAATATTATTATAAACCTTTTTATATATATATTGAGGTTGGGATCGTCCAAAATTATTTTAGTCAACTAAAAATTTTTTTTTTAATTTGCAAATTACGAATTCATTTCCATTTGAATCTTTCACTTTTCAAAATGCTTTCACACAAAACTATGTGTTACAATTCGTTTTTTTAAAGGTCTTCTGAAACCACCGCTTAAATCATTGGAACTTGAAGCCAATGAATTATTGGGCCTTGTATTGGAAGTGTTTATTCATTCACATGTAAAATTATCATCAACAACACACTACTATTGTCGTCATCATCATGTCATATTGATGGCATTGATAGTTTTCCGCATAAAAATTTTCCATTTTGAATGATAAAACACAAAAATTGTAATTGGCCAGACAATAATAACATTAGTATTATTATTATTATTATTATTATTATTAGTATTATTAGTTGACTATTAGTTGTTCAAAAAAAAAGTTTAGTCGTTTATTTTAGTTGACCTTTTTGTTGATAACGTTGACGTCGTCAACAACAACAACATCATCAATGATAGTTACAATATTACAAAGGGTCAATTTCCCTTTTAAATAGTTTTAATATCTTTACATGATGATAATTAATATTAATATTACATAATAATAATAGAAGATAAAAAATATAATATCTATATTGTTTGTCCGCCTAAAGTTTTTATATGGCACGCATTAATGAATCGAAGTTATATGTTTGATCATTCGTTTCAGGAAATATAGTGATTTTTTGTATCCTCAGCTCTGTATATTGTTGCAATACTACCATCATGCGAACGTTTTTTTATCATTTTAATACCGTTATGTGTCTGTTTGTTTATCACTTTACTACCGCCATTACCACCAACCCGTCTACATTCGTAAGTAGTGTTATTATTGTATATACAATCTTTTGCTTTTTTTTGACAACCATTATTGTTGGATATATCATTACATATATCTTTTTCTATAACAATGATTATGATCTCAACTAGTATAATCATAATTTCCTTTTTTTTTATAAGTTGGAATTTTTTTAAAAAATTCTTTTTAGTCTTGTTCGGTAAAAGTACATTATATTTATATTTATTAACTAATACTAAATCAGGTTTATTTTTCCCGAGGAAAATTTTGTTTATATTAATATATACATAGTTTCAGGTTTGTGTAACTTGATTAGTAAATTACTATTGTTCCGAAATAATTAATCAAATGCTAGTCGGGTTATTACTATTATTATTATTATTACTATAATAGTAATGCGAAAAAGGAAAATTTTTACTTACTATAACATAAATGTATATGCAACCCCAAAATTCAGTACGATATGAACATAACGTTATGCATACTACTAGCAAAAAAACCATTTGGGGCCATTGGTTTTACGGGCTGCTCAACAGTAAAATAGTTTTTTTAGCGATGCAAGTAAAATTTTTTTAGAGTTAATTATCATTCTGCTGACCAGTTTACACATTAAAAATACTCGTGTTTAACGTCGAGACGCAATGATATAATAATAAGGTTTAAAAAAAGGGTCCAAAGGCCAAATGGTGCTCGTTTATGAACTATGTGTATTTCCATATTGAATGGATTTATCATTTCATTGAAAATGAGTCGTAATGATGAAATTTACTGTTATCTTAGCCCACCGATCTAGACAAACGACTTGGATTAAAAAAAATAAATTACATTGAAATAGATCACCCTAATTTCCGATGAAAATTTCCCCTATTGCAGAATGCGGACTAATTTTTGAAGGTTTGGAATAAAGATGTTAGCCGAAATTACTTCACATAGTATTAGTAAATGATCATCAGCGAATCCAAAATGCCGAAATGGTTTTTCATAGTTGCCAAAATTAACTTTATTAATTATACTCTAAATTATTTGAACACTTTAACTCAATAGCCAAAATTTTGGGTAGTTTTTTTTATGTCCATCATTATAAAAATATTGTAAATCCGAAATTGCCTGCCGAAATTGATTTTTTCAAAACCATTTCGGCTAACATCTTTAGTTTGGAAACGCGAGAATCACCACCAAATTTGACACAGATTCATTCCTTCTTTACCAATCATAAAGTTTATAAAGGTAATATTGGATAAAAACCTTAGTTTTGAAATAATGCTAACTTTACATAGAGAGCCTCTTTCAATGTGAGAGAGGATGGATGCATTTGTAACACAATTTATTTTATGATGTTTGAACTTGTTATAAAGATAATGATAATAATAGAGAGATATTTTAGAACCAATTCCAATAAATTCATCAATTTTTTTGCAGACTTTGTAGGCTTAAATTCATCTTCTGCCCCATCTTCATCCTCTATTTCCCATGCATCTTCAGAATGCATTATCTCATCATAACAAGCCTCAGAAACTAACATATAAATAGTTAGTTATGAGGTTTTCATTTGAAAACATTTTAATATTATGTATAATATATATATGTATAGTATATATATAAAACCTACAGCTTTTTTCAACTTTGAGCCATGCTTTAAACCATTCTTTTTTTCCTGTGAAAACATCA